CCCCCCCCTAAATCCACAGCAACAATAGTAAAACAGTCCAGTGTCCAATATAAAGTGCTCCCCAAATGTGACACAATCCTCTTCACATTCCTATCCTATCTGCTCCACACGGGCGCAAACAGTGTTTCCAGTGGGGTCCACTCTGCTCCTGTGTATTAGCGCCTTCACTCCACACTTACCGGAAATGGTGGACCATATAATAAATGGCGCTCTCCCTCTCTTATTATCCTCCACACCGATACACCTCCACTGAAAGATAGTTTCTCCAAACCGCAAATCTTATATATGATTACGTGGCTCAGGATTAAAACAAGCATTGCATAGTATAAAATCCTTATCACATTGTATTAAAAACTATGTAGAAAGTGTCACACCACCATCCAAATACAGTCCTCCGCTCAGCATCCGGTGCCATCTATCAGTCCCTCAGCTTCCCCTCTGGATAAGGCAGCCAAGAAAGTCCATCGCTTTCTGGTATCCTGGATACAGTGCACCTTAAAATATGTGAAATTAATAAAAACAAATACTTTGTTCCGCTGTAAAGACCTGTCCCCATCCACCTAATTCTGCTGATTCATGGAGATCATGCTGAAATGAGAGCACAGTACTAATGTTTCTGGTATGCTGGTGATATCTTCCCTACCCGGCCTCAAAATGGCAGCTTGGCAAACATTAAAAAAAGTGTATTTAATAATAACTACTCCAAAATGACAATTTTGCCAGGAAATGCAAGAATACTATGGACCACAAAATGGCATTGCTAATTCTTTTTTTTGTTAATTGCAATGGTACATTTTTGTTACATTTAACGTGGTTATAATGCAAGGTACATTTAATTGTTTTAATGTAAATATATAAAAGACCAGCTTATCAATATGTGTTAATGTTTTAACACACTTCTATGTATAGTTTGTAAACATAGTATACATAGGCACAGCCATATTTGCCCATCACACATGCAGGCCATGCTTCATTTTATTGTAGTTCTGTTCAGTGTTAGGCCTGCTCAATGAAAACAGTGCAGTCCTTGTGGCTATTTTTTTTTCAACCAGTTGTTAAAATGTGCAAACAAAAATCTCTCTATTGTCCATTAAGAGCCACCATTTGATAACGAGACCTAGTGTGATACTGCCCTCTACAGCAGAATAGGACACTAGGCACACAGAAACTGACGGCCACCCCCCTAGAGACTATAACACTTTCCACCTTGCCAGTTGTGCTTGGTGTCCTCAGGAGAATGAATTATCAACAGCTACTCGTAGATTCATACTGGATATGGTAAATCATGGAATTCTCTAGTCAGCCAACGATCACTGGTAGGTTCATGCCAGATATATTAAGCGTGGCTGTCTCTCCAGTCAGCCAACAAGTGCAGGTTTTACCAGTTCACAATGGTTCTCTCTGCAATGGGCCTGCAGTCGGCAGAGACTACCTGCCTGTTTTCCAGTTAGCACAGGACTCTGCTTTTCAGATCAGTATCTGTATATCTGGGGATTCCTTGTAAAGTATCAGGATTAGAGGTGTGGCATTTCATCTGTTAGCAGTCCCTAAAGACTCCCTGTTGAGAGTGGCTAGCAGGTTAATGGCTACTGTTTATGTTGCATTTCTTACCCAAGCTTCTGTATGTTGCGGGCAGTATAACAGGGGAAGCTTAACTCTACCTTCTTGCTGGGTTTTCCTAATTACTTTTAATAGGATTTCATGTTAGCAGATGCAGTGTATTGAAAGCGACTTGAGCTGTTCACTACTAGATGACCAAGCACTGTGTAGGCTCAACCAGCATTTTCATCTCCCACTGTGATTTGCCTGCAAATGCACCGACTGTTACATTTTATTACTGTAATGTGTTTCTACTGAGGTAACCAAGCACTGTTTGGCTCCATGGCCAATTTGAAGTTCCTACCATTTGGTTTGTGGAAAGCCTGTCTGCAGGAAAGGGTGTGCAACAATATGTGAACCAACTGATTTCTTTCTGCGAACCCTTCCATGGGATACGCTGGTGTTCTCCACATTGTAAAAGCAGTGACAGTGATCATTCTGGGTGTCATCTGTCTTTACTCGCTCTATTCCGTGGCTGTGCGCACACCTGAACCAGTGAGCCAGCTGCTTTCTTTCTGTGGCCTCTGACGTGTGTACTGTGGTGTTCTCCCCATTGGGACATGACAATGTCATCGGTCTGGACTCTCACAATCTGTTAAACAGCTTTTTAGTGTGTGCAAAAATCTCTGTTGGTACAAAGTTGCCTCCAGTGACAAGTGTTCAGTTGGCTGCTAA